TTTCTAATGAAACAAAGATGAAGGTTTTGACTTAGAAGAGGAAGATGACTCAATGAGAGATAGACAGTCGTCTGTGAATTTCCAGAATCTATGTTCAAACCATCTGGAAAATGTCTGCCACTACTTAAGTCTTAAGTAAACAGAGATCCAGAAGACGACAAAAGTTAGACAATAGAGATGAAAGAAAAATTGTGAGTTTCGGTCAGTTATGTGACATGCGTGATACACGTTTAGGCGATCATGTATCTTTCGATACATGACTGACAAGGCAGTTTTTTTCCCCGCAGCAGGTTGCCATTTCTTTGTTCAGTAGACCAGTTGCCATCCAAGGCTATAGAACCCGGTCTGTCCTGCTATTTACCTATAGCTGGGGTGAGAAGAAGAGGATTCACATCTTTCCCGTAAGTAATGGATTCGACTGGAATTCGATCTCGTCACTCCGATTCCTCAATCCGAGCCTCTATCTATTGCTCCACCGTGCCTCCTTACAAAATCTGCAGTTAGGTGAGGAATTAATGTAGTCATAACAGTGTGGTTTCAGCTGATACAGTATGCAGAGTATTACGAAGAAACAATTTGAATGAGCGTTTAACAGCAACCAAAACCATCATTAACCAAAAACCATCAGGAACGAAGAATGACGTGCTCAGAAGATCATCTAACATATTTAGTGATGAATGAGTTAGATTCTAATGCGAGATAATGTTAAGAGCAATAGGAGAAAGAAACAATGCAAGATACATTGCAAAGCCAATAGAATTTGTTGATAGACAAATAATGGTGATGGGTTACATCAAAAGCCATGATAGAAGAATATTGGTAAAAATTGATGGAAACCTAAACAACGGAAACTATATTAATTTACGACGGTCTGATCTTCTGCAAGGCTATGAAAATGGCGAATTTTTTTCAGCATGACGGTGCTTCTTGTAATATATCACGTGCAGCAAAGTTTCCTTGTGGATGAAGATGTTCAACTTTTGAAAGACTGGCTGGCGCAATGTCCTGATCTCAATATAATTGAACCATTGTGGTAGAAACTGAAGAAAAAAGTTTTCCAACGAAAATCAAGCAATTCTCAAGAGTTTTGGGATTACTGCCAAAAAAGAAAAGGAAAATATTCGCAATCTGGACCTTATTCCATTCAATGACAAATCGAATTGGCGCAACTATTCGAATCAAAGGCAGGAACATTAATTACTAACTCCATACTTTGCCGTTTTTTACTTCCTGTAATAATAAAGATCGTTTTTTGAAAAACAATCCTTTTTAAGTTAAGACAAGAATGGATAAATGAAATTTTCGTTGGTGACTCAATATTTTTGCATGACCATTCAGCATCACTCTGCTTAAGATATTTTATCATCATCTTACAGCATTAACGAAAATGCAATAACTTGCTTTCTGGCCTTCAAAGATCATAAAATGTAATAAGAAAAGCATATTGTTAATCACTTTCGATTTGGCGGTAAAATTAGCAAAAGTAATTAATTTACCCAGGTGGTCCAAATGTTTTTCACGCCAATGTATATTAGGTTGTTCTAAACGAAATGACATATTTCATTGCTGCAAATTATGAGTCAACCTACGAAAAAAGAATCAGGGCTGAAATGCAGACATTTGCGTCTAGAATTTATCACCTTTTTTCATCCGACTGTGTCGTTTATAGTACATTTCAGAGTGTAAAATTATGGAAGATTATAAATGTAAAAAGCAACATATTCGCTATTGCTTACTGTGTGGATTTCAAAGGAGTATCGGTTACAAACATCCTATCCGTTGTTTGTCTCTTCAGTCATGTTTACGGATAAGGAAACATTTGGAAGAAATGGAAAAATAGGTTTAAACAACCAATATTTGTGGGCGGAACGGAATCCCCATGGTACAATACAGGCTAGAAACCAACATCAGTTTACGATTAATGTGTGGGTTGGAATTGTAGGTGACTGCCTGGTAGGTCCATATGTTCTCCCAGCACGTCTTGCAGGATCTGTCTACAAGGAAACTTTTTACAGCTGTACCCCTGCTAATATGAAGACGCATATAGTTCATGCATGATGAGGCTCCAGCACATTTTAGTCATATTGTTTGGGACGCCCTGACTGAAAGATTGAGAGGTAGGGGAGGACCGGTTGTATGGCCTGTACGTTCTCCCGACCTCAATCTTTTGAAATTTTACTGTGTGGTCACCTAAAACAATTGGTTTATGTAGAAGATATTAATGCAGAGACGTTTCATCAACGTGTCATGGGGGGCCTGCGAAACCATTTGATACCTTGTGGAAGTATTTGAAAGTGCCCGCCAGTCAATGATCCGACGGGTACATTCGTGTATAGAAGCAAGCGAATGACATTTTGAACATTTATTATGAGATGTTGTCTTGAAGTACAACAATGGCCTTTTGGACATATCTTTATATGGACATTTTATTTACCTTGTTTTGGTGTCAGGAATCCAACCCTAAAGTTTGTGGAATTATTTTCGATACACTGTATATATATATATATATATATATATATATATATATATATATATATATATATATAGCGATAGCAGACTTCCAAAACATTTTCTCTTTGCCCAGCTTCTAAAAAGCAGGTCAGTTGGAAAGCCGGTATTGTGTTACAAAGACAAACTCAAAGACAATCTGAAGGGATGCACCACCCATTTTTATTACTGGGAAAACAAAGCTTTGGAACGAAAGAAGCTGACGCCTGTTATGCTATACGAAGTTTTGAGTGAGGCCGACTTGAACATCGGGATCAATTGCGTTCAAATATTAAAGGAAAGTTGGCAGCATGGTGGTCCTCTCCATGATAATCTTACCTACCACTGTGGCTTTGTCGCACTCTGTAAAACAGGCCTTGCTCTCCAATCGTGGAAACATATGACTCAGCCACTCGAGTTTGCAGGCCTTGGGAGACACATGCGTGTCCATAGAAGTTGAGCACCTCTTTATTTTACTCAACCCACATTTGTTGTCTACGACAGTGAGTTTCCAGGCATAACTCAGATATGGCACAAGGCCGAAAGTATGGTGCACTCAGTGAAGATCGAACTCACTACTCAGTCGTAATTGTTCTAGCGAGACAAGCTTGTTAACCATTACACCAACTCGAGGTGTCCTTGTTGTCCACGATAGTATATATATTAGTCTCTCTCGTCGAATTTGACGTATGAGGGTCAAGCAGCTCAGTTACTAGGAACCGTCAGCCATACATCAGCACATACGATTTGTGCACTACAAGGTCCCCAAAAGACCCTCCGCAGGTTTTGAATTCAAAGTCCTCCTTCTCTTAGAACAGTTACCGTCCAGGCTATAGAACCTAGTCTGTCCTGCTATTTACACACAGACACACACACACACACACACACACACACACACACACACACACATATATATATATATATATATATATATGTGAGTTTATATATATATATATATATATATATATATATATATATATATAGTGCATTGGATGATTATAATGTTATTATTGTCCTTGTAGGACTCTTTTCATTGATTCTTGTTGACCTAGAGAATATGGATTTCACTCTCTTATATCGAGATTGAACTCACTATCACTAAGTGACTATTGTACATTTTAAACGAATATCTGTATTCGTTTTTAAAAGTTATATATATATATATATATATATATATATATATATATATATATATATATATATATATATATATATATATATAACGATGGTACCTGGCGTTGTGTGGGTCAAATATTTTCTCTTTGTTCTACACCAGTAACTTCATCTGTGAGGTGATTGTCTAGCTTTCACTGCTTTATAGAAGAGCCGTTATGAAGTAACAGTTCAGAACTGTTTTCTTTCTTTCAAAAGAAATTTTCCTGTTTCTTAATACTTTGCTTAGCTTTTGTGATGCATCTTTTGCTATTTCAATCACTTTCTGATTTCAGTGTCACATTTTTCGTCGTCTGCTAAAACACTTCCCAGATATTTAAATGTTCGTACTTGATTTCAAATTCGAAGATGGCATCTTGGGCTCTTCCTTTTGATAACAATCATAACATGTGAATAACTTTTCAGTTTAATTACAAAAGCCATCAACCAAACTGTTTGCTTATTTGTAAAGATTGCAAAAGAACGAATTTGGAATGAATTACAAAACTGTTCTTTCTTTAAAATTTCATATTTAACGCTAATTATCTCCGCTAATTTTGTCAATATATAATATACATAATGGTCGGTATAAAGAATAAAACTGTATTTAATTGATGTCAAAATTTTATTTGCACGCATATTTACGGATAACCAACTTTATATTACATTAATATGTAAGGTTTCTCACGGGTGTACACAAAAATTTAAGTTTGATATAATAGATATACAGGGTGTATCAAAAATACTTTTACAAACGTTGGGGTCGTGTTCCTTACATCAAAACATATGTCCGCAAATCATTTATTTTTGAGTCATTAAATTTAAAGTTTACGGTAGAGGCCGTTAAATGTACAATCCGATATAATCCAAAAATACTTATTAACATAGTTTATGATGCCACAAATCCTGTCTTAGCAACATGACGATGACGATAAAAAGATGGATGACTAGGCTGCCTTCAGTCTTGAAACGGAATCTGATATAGTTGTGCAGCCTCGCGTCCATTACCATTCGCGCGACCACTTGTAAAAATCATATCTGCCTTCTCACGATATGAATATCCTGCCATTGTTAAACGTAACAATACTCAGTTAACTCACTACTACACTCGTAAAACGTTGAAGACAGACTAGCCACAAATGTACACGAATGACAAATGTAACCTAGTCTACATGACAAAAAAGCGTCATCTACCGTAAAATTTCTTTAAACTCAAAACGATGTATTTGCGGACATATATATTGTTTATATAGACTTTTGTCCTTGAATCCGCCCCCAAAATTTGCAAAAGTATGTAGAATAAGTGCAATTTTCGTATACTTTTTTGCCATTTTGACAATGTGTTTTTTTGTTTTTTGTAGTAATGGAAGATACGAACTCGAAGCTGAAGATGTGCAAGAATAAAGACCTTAACCTTAAGTCCGAGAACAACAGCAACAACACTAGCAGCAGTAACAGCAATATTTTGGAACTGAAGCCACCGACGCTAAGTAAAGTATGCGATGTTGGTCACTCTAGTCAAGTAGAAAATAATGACCCGTCCGTTGGTATCAGCGGGGCCGTCGACGATGACCTTAAAAGCGAAGACAGAAACGATTTGAAGAGAAAGAAACGTCGAAACCGCACGACTTTTACGAGTTTTCAACTTGAAGAACTCGAGCGAGTTTTCCAGAAGACGCATTATCCTGACGTCTACGCGAGGGAACAGTTAGCAGTACACTGTGAATTGACGGAAGCCAGGGTACAGGTAAGAGGTGCTTCGATTATAAACTTAAACTTTGAATTGTCAGCGTCGATTGCTTATAAGCAGAAACGCTTTAGAAAACCAATGTTGGAGACATTAAAGTGATAATGTCTTTTTTTAAATATTTCTACTCACGATTCTTCATTATCTGCATCGTCTTCGGAATCATTTCTTGGTGGTTATTCTCAGGGCCATTTTACTTGTGGTAAGTAACAAAAGAGACCATTTCCACATTCTGTATTATGGATGCCCAAACAGACATAGAATTACTGATATTTTTCACCACTTGATAATTAACTGAAATCATTGAAATCTTGAAGAGTCACTTTAAAATACATACCGACAATACTGCGATTACTCAAAGGGGTTGACTGGTTGATTGTTTTTTTACAGCTTATCAATCTTTCCCTGGTTATTTAAAGCCAGGTAATATATTTTTAGATGGTAAGAAATATTTGGAGATAATAAAGATTTAATTATACGAGGACTACTAATTAACATACCTAGGGGAATAAATGGAGGATTCAAACCTTTCCCCAGAGTATTTGCTCGTAATTGATTATAAAGAACTCGATTGGAATTGGAACTCGGTTCCTCGGTTTCCAGTTCCGAGCCGTTATCCATTACACACCCGCACATCCAAGTTTACAGCACCTGGTATTACCAAGTGGTCACCTATCTAAGTACTGATCAGGCGCGATGTTGCTTAACTTCATACGAGAACCGGTGTTTCAACGTGGTATAGTCCTTACTGCTGCAGCAATGGATAGCGGCTCTGATGGCAGAATCGGAGAGCCGAGTTCGAATTCCAATCGAATCCATTACATTCACTTACGAGCTAATATCCTTGGGAAAGGTATGAATCTTCTTCTCCCAGCTATGGACAAATAGCAGTACAGACCGGGTTCTATAGCCTTGGATGACAACTGTTCTACTGCAGAAAGACATGGCAACCTATGGGGGGAAATATCTGCCTCTTAAATGTATCGAAAGATACATGATCACTTAAGCATATATCACACATAGCACTGAACTTAAATAGAGTCATTTTGCCTGTTTTCAGATTTATAACTACTGCAAGGCAACTCAGCTAATTTAGCAAATAGAATCTGATGATATATAGAGTTTCACATAATATAAGAACTGTGCATCACATGTGATGTATAGAGCATAGTGTAAATAACTTAGTGATTTGTACATTTCTATTATGGGAAACACTATATATCAACACATTCTATTTGTCAAATAAGCTGAGTTGACTTGCAATAGTTCTAAATCTGAAAGTAAGCATGAGCATTTGAATAGAACATACGAAAATGCCCTGGACAGGCAAAAGGTTAAAATAATTGCTAACAGTTAAAAACTTTTTCTGCTTTGATGGGCACTTGGGCCACTCAAAGTAATGTATAATAATAAAAATAATTCTTTTCTTATCCTCATAATGATCGGCGTTTTCGGATTTATTCCCCAAAATATGCAAACATACATCTCACAACTATTAGATGAGCAAAGTTTGGCTGAAATGCAAAGAATTGCACTAATCGGAATTCATCACGTCCTTAAGAAAATACTGTCAATATAGCTTTTTTCCTGCTTAACTTTTGTATTTGATTTCATATTGAAGTCTTTAATTTTTAAGGATTTTATTCAACGTTTTAACAATTCTTAAACAGTCATAATTTTATTTCTTTTTAAAGCTCTACAAAATTTATTATTTCAAGATTGTTTAAAAGTTGAGTGTATTTTTCAATTTATCCGTTTTTCACGTTATCCCAGTTTCAATTCTTCCTTTTTCCAATTTATCGCTTTTTCATTCTATCACTTTTCAATTTATCTCTTTTCAATTCCTCCCTTTTTCGATTCCTCCATTTTCCAATTCCTCCCTTTTTCAATCTATCCCTTTTTCAGTTTATCACTTTTCCAATTTATTCCTTTTTCAATTTATCCCTTTTTCAATTTATCCCTTTGTCAATTTATCCCTTTTTCAATTCCTCCCTTTTTCAGTTTATCACTTTATCATTTCCTTCTTTTTCCAATTCCTTTCTTTTTCAATCTATCCCTTTTTCAATCTATCCCTTTTTCAGTTTATCACTTTTCCAATTTATTCCTTTTTCAATTTATCCCTTTTTCAATTCATCCCATTTCAGTTTATCCTTTTGTCGATTCCTCCCTTTTTCAATTCAATCCTTTTTCACTTTTTCAATTTTTCCCTTTTTCAATATATCCTGTTTTCAATTCATCTCATTTCAGTTTATCCTTTTATCAATTTATCCCTTTTTCAATTCCTTTCCTTTTCAGTCTATCACTTTATCATTTCCTTCTTTTTCCAATTCCTTTCTTTTTCAATCTATCCCTTTTTCAATCTATCCATTTTTCAATCTATCCATTTTTCAATTCATCCCTTTGTCAATTTCTCCTTTTTCAATTCCTCCCTTTTTCAATCGACTCCTTTTTCAGATCCTTCTTTTTACTCTGCTTTCACAACACTTAAGCCAAAAACATTGCTGTCACATATGATATGTCAACTTGCTGTCTCTTGAGGTCTCCGGTTGAAAGTTGGGGCAAGTAGATTCCAATAATATTAACTTTAGTTCTTCTTTTCCTTTCTTCTCTTAAGTATGCCGTTATCCTTCATTTTAGATGTGCCATCTTTCCTTTACAATATTTTTCGTTCATTCATTCATTTTTTCTAATTTTCAAAATTTTATTTCATTTTTCTTATTTTTCCAAGACAGAAATAATTCATGCTTAATAGTAAAATGTACTTGATGATTTTACCCATGTAGATATCAGTGTGTCAAAAGCGCCACCACATCTCTGTTCTCCCTCGTTCCTTTCAATAAGCAACATCACAACAGGTGCTCTTGCTTCGCTTCTACTTGTTTTTTTTTCCTTTCGTTCAAATCCAATACACTTGCTCCTTCCCTTTTCGCCTAACCACTACTTGTGCGCATCACCAACCAATACCCTTTCTTTCTTTCTAACTCATCTGCGCGCGCACGCGCACACACACACATATTCGTACGCATACATATCAAGTAAAAGAAAGAGGAGGAGGAGGAGGAATTCTTGATTTTTAAATCTCGTAGATTCCCGCCTTCAGCTTTCATCACTGGTGGCCATGTTTGGAAATCGGATACTTAAGACTTTTCTTAACAACTTCCGCCTTTTAACAGGATTGTAACGTCGGATAGAAAAGAAGAGACAGCACACGTCAAGTGAATCGCCAATAAATGAAATAGATAAAAATCTAAGCAATTAGTTTAATCTTTTTTTCTTGGGGTACTTTTCAATGACATTCACTCAGTAGTTATGACATCCCCAAAACCCATTGCCACTGTTATCAATATTCCCTGAATTAATCTTGATATAGGGCTATATTTGGAGGGTGCAACTTAAGATGAAACTAAATTCTTCTACGTGCCATATCCCTTCAGGATGAAGGCAAATGTAATTTTCTACCCCTTGTAAATTTAAGTAACGTTATTCCCTTTGCTAAACCTCACACTGTCCGTTCCGTCAACCATTCACGTTCGTCAGGTAGTGGGGGTGACCCGTTGCCTTCCGCTGACCCTTTTGCCTTCGATATGACCTTCGTGACTCTCCAAGCTTACTTTCCTCATTGTGTGTCCAAGAAATATCAGCAGTCTTTTACTAAGTGTCGTTTTATTTCCATTTTCCTTAAGACTTCTTTGTTACTTGCGTGCTTCGACCATAGTATTCTCATCATCCTTCTGTAGAACCATACTTCTGTTACCTACAGTTTTCTCTTTATTTTTGCGGCTACTTTTCAGTATTCATTGTCATATATGTAGCTTTCTTTTCTTTGATTTTACCAACATTTTTCTGTTTTCATGATCATTTGCTTGAGTTTTGGAATACATCTTTTGTTTTTTCAGTAAAGGGTTAGATGACCAACCGTCGCTCTAATGCAGTCGATCTTTCTCTCTCTATCTCTCTCTCTCTCTCTCTCTCTCTCTCTCTATATATATATATATATATATATATATATATATATATATATACATATGCATGCACATTATATATATATTTATATTTATACATACATATACACACTCAGTACAGATATATATGTATATATACACACATATGCACCCATTATATATATATATGCACACACATTATATATATATATATATATATATACAGAGAGAGAGAGGGGGGAGAGAGAGGGGGGAGAGGGGGAGAGAGGGGGGTGCTATGGATAAATTGTCTAAATTACGTAAAATGAAAATAATACCGGCATCTCATTTTAACAGATATTATTATTAGATATTACCAAAATTACACAAAAATATCTTGAAATACTTAAGATTAAATTTCTTCAGTAAAATCGCCATTGGTTTCAACCAAAGCCTCCAGACGACTTCAGATTCTCTTGCAACTCTTCTGGATGGTCTCCTTGTTTAAGTTGATGAATGCTGGCATATTTCTTGCCTTCAGTTTATTTTTGGTGTTACAAGTTTTGTTGGTCTCTCGCTCAGCTGTGTCCCGCACATAATAATCAAAGGAGTTGAAGTCTGCGGAGTTAGGTGGCCAGTTGCAAGGGGCGATGTGGTCGCAGAAATTGTCTGACAGCCATGGCTGCGTTTTCCTTACTTCTACGGCATGGCTCTTTTGCCGGACATAGGGTCTTCCAGAAGTCACCCTCTTGACCCAGAGCAGCACAACCTCATCAGTCTGAAGCCCGCACTAACAAATTCCGGAATTCTTTTCTTATGAGAATGATCAGAGTGAGGTTCCCGAGCTGCTGAACCTTCGTAATCACCATTAAACTCATCCAGCTCTTTCTGAGTCCTCTGCGCTGTCCTCAGATTGACACCTAAACACACTGAAATATTCGTATTCGAGCTTCCGGTACAAATGCCAAAATAGTACATTTCTGGTGTAGTAAATAGCATCATGGTGCTTTTTTTTTATCCCACAGACGGTGCTTAACCAACCCTACTATACTACGTATACTACGTATTCGAGAAAATCAAAGACAAACAAAGCACATGTGCGAAATTAAAGTATAAAATTGCGACAATTTACCCATCTCACCCTTAAACACACACACACACACACACACACACACACACACACACACACATATATATATATATATATATATATATATATATGAATAGAAGATATTGCACATTGTTTTTGGTTTTAATAAAATAGTGCCCGATATAATATAACAGAGTTACAAAGTATATATTAATAAATATTCATTTTTTTACTTACCGGTAGCACAACTCGGAGTCTCATGCACAACGCAGTTTTCAGGTGCTGAGTAGGGTCTTGAAAGATATCTTCCTCCCATTAATCTGTATTGACCCTATATCTATATTGTAGTTACTGAACAGATGGCACTTCTGCCACTTTTTAAACATGCCATGTATCTCTTCAGGAGATCATGTTCCTTCACAGATTTCTTTGACTTTATTCTCTGTGAGTTGCATGATTTTTTACAAAAAATATTCATATTTCCAATTGCTTTCTTCACGGTCCTGAATTCAGAAGTGTCTTTCTCTTAGAGCGGAGGCCACCCAAGGCTAGAGAAAACAATTTACCCTACTATGTAACTCATAACTAGAAATGATAATGGTAACATTGGTAAACATTTGGCATTCATTGACCGAGCAGCCAGTGCTACTATCGATTGAAATTTATAAAATATTTCCATTAAAATAATTTTTCAGGAAAACAGGGTTTTTAATACCACTATTATCGTTCTTTCCAATAGTGAGGTTACTTACTTTCCTAACATGGAGTAGTGTGGGACGTAAGCATCTTGATAATGGTATTACGTTCTCTTCAAGTTGTATGTGTTTAGCTGTTGCTGCTGTTGGTCCTCAAGTGATGTGGTTTCTGTTATCTTGTACAGTTCTTTGTCTGTGATTATGTAGCGCCAAATAGCAAGGTGCGAACAAGTATAGTGCTCGTTAGGACTACATGCTTTATTCGCTGGAAGCCATTTTTAACTATCAATCTGAGAAAGCGACTGTAAACAACTGAGAGTTTAGGCATTTCTGAATGAGTTAGGCTCTACGCATGACTCCCATATGAATGTCTGGATTTATTAACATTATTTACTATTTAATAACATGATTCAAGATTTTAGGCTAATGTTTTGGTTTTGTAGCAATTTGCGGTGTTGGATGAAACTACCAATAGCTCAGCCTATTCTAAGTTTCTTAGTTTAAGTTTCTTAATCTCTTATAGGGAAACGTGTGAAGGATAAAAAAGGGATTCATGCCTTTCACGAGGGCATCAGTACGAGGTGAACTTTTCATGTTGCACATGAATTTTATAGCTATCTATCTATGTGTAGCTGGCCACTTGTATTTGAGGACACCTGTCTACTGGGGCCGCTAGCCAATCCCTATTGCAGACGCTTGCTCAGGCATTTTTTGTGTTTATTCAACACCCACAGAACCAAACTGTGTTTTATACTGCAACTATGCTGAGCAGACCTTAGTTACAGTTTCTGAGAAATAGCATGTTACCTAGCATGATCAACAATTTGAACAAGGCTAGCACACTTAAACGCTCGGCCACGATGACTTGTGGCTTCGTGCTAGCACAAGTACCGACGGCCATGAGGGGTATTGTCTACCAGTTTCATTCACAAGGTTTGGGTCAACCTGTGATATGGTTTTCAGACACTTTCCATTGGTGCCGCACGCTGGAATAGACCCCATCAGTCTCCTTCCTGACAAATCGACGATGGTAAGATTCGAACTCGGGTTTCATGGTGTTATATATATAGTGTCGTTGCCGACGCTTGAGTTTGGACATAGATCGCCAGTGAGCAAACAGAGGTAATCCTATTATTGAATTAAGTAGACCACGTGACCATCGAGAAAACGCATATATGTAGGAAGTAGCTGACGACTAACGATCGCTATTTCTGTTCTATTCTCTATTACTATTCGGATCTGCATTTCTAGTCTATCCTCTATTACTGTACGGACCACTGTTCTCTACACTATTCACTATACTATTTCTCTATTCGGATCACTATACAGATTACTGTTCGAGCGAGTATTATCGAGCGAGTACTATTAGTGCGAGATTATTCGAAGGCACTGACACCAGCATTGTTCAACGGCGTTACTATAGTTGTATCTGTGATTACAAAATCTCTACTACAACGAGCATTACAAAAATGGCAACGAGTGTTCGTTGGCATCACAAAACATGGTCAGAATGTGAAAGTACTAACCATATGCCCATATATAGCTATTAATAAAACTTGACTTTTTTGAATGCTTATAGATTCGATGGCAAAGGAAACTTCCAATATTTTTAATGGGCATTTTATTTGAAGAAACGTATCTCAGATGTGAGCTAAAAAATCATTTTAATCGGTCTTGTTGATCAGGTTGTATTAGAGTTCATCTGGATTTATTAAAACTGCTGTATCAAGAAATTATATTTTAAATTCATTTACGCATTATATATACATATGTGCAGATATAAGGTTTTGTAAATTTA